CGGCAATGCTATCTGATGTCATCCCATTAAACAATCACAAGCACTCAGTGTAAACAGGAAACAGGAAGTTGATCTTAGACAGAAATATTAGTCGGGTTAGCTATTTAAAAAATGACAGGTTAGAAGGAATAGCGTAATTAACTGAAGGGGTAATCAGTTATATACAGTTATTATTGAGACGTTTGATGCAGACTGGTGTTATTTCATAAAGCGTGCAACAAGTACCTGAGTAAGTAAGTTCCAAAAGGTACACAACCGTTGGCAAGTTGTCACAGAAAGACAGGAATTCTGTCAGAAAGCTCAGCCAAGGAGCTCGGCAGCCAGGTGAAATAAGACATCTAAAGGCAGCACAGAGAGAAGAGGCAGAGGAGGCAACAAAAGCACTGATCTGTTGTTCAGTTTGTCTGCACCAACTGACTGCAATTTCTCCACCTGTCAGCAACAACTCACCAAAACACCATGTGTGTGTGGTGTTTGTGTGTGTGCGTGTGTGTGTGTGTGTGTGTGTGTGTGTGTGTGTGTGTTTTGGAGAGATTTTCTTTTTTTCTCTTTCAAGGCCGCATTGTTATTGTTGGCTGTGTAGAATAGCGCGTCTTTAGGGAATAAAACGGACACAGACATTCAGTCTTAGACACTCAAACGCTTTCTCACACACACACACACACACACTTAGACACGCACACAAACAACGCTGGAATTCCCCCGGATGTCACCCTTGCCCTGTTGTCGTTGTAACTGCTTGAATGACAGGAGGGTGGTCCAAATAAAACTCCCACAATCCTCTTCCTCACTCCGTCCTCCATTTGTGTCTCCCTCGCGCTCCCGCCTCCCTCCTCGTCGCCGCTCTTCTTCTCCACACCCCCGGCGCCCGCTGCATCCCCTCGCTCTGTCACTTCCTTTCTCTCTCCAGGTCTGTGCAAGCCCCGTACATCAAATATTAATGTCAGTTGTGCTCTGAGCCGTAATTGCCATCTCTGCTTCTGAATAATGGATATAACTGTGCCGGCCAAAAAACAGCACCCAACCGTGGATTGTTACGTTACTTTGGGTTTCTGGCTAAATAAGACGGGCATCGATTTCATTATCAAAGGCAAGAGCAACTGAAAAAAATGACACTATAACGGTCGACCACATCGGCCTTTTTCATTGGATGACAGAAGCTGTGGAAATAGCAGGTGAACAAATGACCAAGTTCAACTAGAAGGTGAAGTTGAAGATAACTGGTTTTAGTTAAATATATAACAAATAAAGAAAAGTAAGCATGAACGTTGGCCTAACATTCGTCAGGTGACCAGAAAAACGACCCCCAAATCAACAATAATGTTGCTTTGTGTCTGTTGGATTTGTAAGTAAGCAACGTTTAAAAACCACGTAAAGTGAGAATTACTTATTTAGGAAAGCCACTCGCCAAAATATACACTTGTTATTTATTTTGATTTTTACACTGTAACTGATAAAGTCAAAACGACAACAACAATACCAATCTATTGTGTGTCTAGTGAGTGTAAAAATCCTCTAGTCTTTCTATATTGTTCTTTATTTTCTACTCTCCGCTTATCACCATCCTTACACTCTCCCGTCCAGATGGTGTGTGTGTGTGTGTGTGTGTGTGAGTGTGTCGGGTCAGCTCTATGAGTGTGGTACTCACAGTATAGCAAAGGTCAACAGCGCTGTTATCACTCGAACATGATCGGGCCTTGGAGAGGGGGAGTGAGATAGCCGAGAGGGAGGGGGGGGGGGAGTGCTCACCTCCCCCGCAGTTATTCAGACTCTTATAATTGCCCAGTTTAATTGGAGGCCTCTTAACGACCAGTGACTGGACCAGCCAATCAATTCACACAAGGTGTGTGTGTGTGTGTGTGTGTGCCTGGTGTGTGTAGCTGCAGGGCCTTTTTGTTGCAGAGTTGATTGGGCCAGATGGGGTCAAGTAAAGGGGGAAGAGGAACGCACACATACTGCATTAAAATGTAGAATATGTTCCGTTGCCAATCAATGAGAAAATGCGCTCTCGCAGGAAATAAACCAACGTGGTTGAACCTTAGATGGTGAACTGAAAAATAACGACTGATATCATCAGATGACCAGGGAGATAAGCCAATGAAAGACAGTAATTAGTTGGTGTGTGTGACTGCGCTGAGGAGAGGGGGAGGGGAGGGGGGGAGTGGGTATCGTTAAATTGATGGGTGGGATGAGATTGTGGTGATGATTTAGGTGATGTTTCAAGACACGGACATTTTTCTTAGTGGTGCAGTATTAAAGACAAGATCCTTTCCTTTTGACCTTCAAAAAAACAGGGTACAGAAGTGCAGAAGAAACAGTAACTACGTCGTACTTGGATATTTTTGCTCAACAGATTTGATGATATATTGTTTTTAAATAAACAAGGGGATCTCCCCGGTATTCCCCATGGCTGTAGAAGGAAATGTAAGAACAAAGTCACAAGCTGATGTCAACTATATATTATTATATATTATATTAGATATACAATCAGGTAAGAAACCCATTCAACAAGTTTTTTTTTTTTTTTAAGAATACACTTTGGATTACGTTGGTAATGAAAACTTTTGTTTTACGATACTAAATTGATCCAGTGAATGCTTTCCCCATTCAACATTTCTATAGGACACGGTGTGGAAAACATTTTGACTATTCTAGGTTAAAGCACGTGAGGCCGGCAATGTCTGCGTCACTAAAAAACGAGTCAGCCGTCCTTCGTGACCGAAGAAACATTGAAACTGTAAATGAGCGGTGATTTCAATGCGCATCCCGTTTGCTTGTTCATCCTTCTCTCCCAGCACATTTAAAAATGAAGTAACATGGCACTTACTGTAAGATTAAATACTTTTGTGTATCAGTATATTTTACTGTTACTCCTTTTAGCTCAACACTTCCTCCACCACAGATTTAGTCTCTTTCATATTTCGCGTTGATCAGAGGAGTGTGTGCACCTCCCGACCGCATCCTTTCTACAGAAATATCCAGCGCAGGGTCAGCGGAGTGCTTGTGGTAACGCTGTGCTAGGGTTTTGAGAAGGGCTAGACAGTGGGAGGTCAGTGTGGGTCACCGTGGCTGTCCCACACTGTGATAGGCTGTCACCCAGGGGTCAGGGGTCACGATAATTAGGCATGCAGAGTCTCAGCGCCGGTGTTATAACGAAGCTTGAGCTCGTTAACGCAGAGTTTTACACTAAGACCTGCCACTGGGCTGTGCTGCACCGTTACACACACACACACTCACATGTGGAGTACATGTTTGCTCTCAGACACACACGTGCACAGACACACACACACACACACACACACACACACACACACACACACACATCTGCTTTGTTCTGAACCGTCCAGTACAAATGCTGTCATCCCTTGAACAGAGGAGCAGCAAGCTCGGCCACGAGGGAATGTGGTGGTATTTATTTATTTTTATATAAATAAAAATATAAAGTAGGCTATAGAGTTTAACTGGTTTAAGATAAATACAAACACTGGACACAATGTGATGGAAAGCAATACAATAGAATAGCATGTTTTTGGTGAAGCTTGCTAATATACTTTTTTCTATTGCGGATTTTTCTTTAAAAAACATTTAAAAAGTGGCTGTTAATCCATGCGGCTCCAAAGTCACATGGTTTGGACCAGTCAACGGGGAAATGCCATAAACTTCCTTTAACAACTCCTCCGGTCCCGAGGAGAAGTCAGAATTTATCAATTCAATGTCACTGATGAAACAATCATACTTCTCATTTGATTTATTATCTTAGTAAACATTTTAAACGTGAATTTATCTTAATTAATAGTTCCAAGTCTTCCTCAATACTATATATTGTGTTTGTGCACAGAGCGCAGTGAAGAGGAAACATTCCCTGCCTGCGAAGTTGTGTGGTTTTTATCGAGTTGTTACGCACGGACAGATGTGACAGACAAAACGTATATGCCAACGTGTGTGTGTGTGTGTGTGTGTGTGTGTGTGTGTGAGTGTGTGTGAGTGTGCCTCGTTGCCTCTGCCAGGCCGGCCAGCTGGCTCACACCAAAACACAACCTGGACGTGTTTGTTAACTGTTGATGGCCATCTGGGTGTTTGATTTATTCTGTAATATAGATTCATGACATATGGTTCTGTTTAAAACACACAGTGTCAACATGGTTCCCCCTTTCTTAATGATTTGTGCACCATCAAACTTCACCAGATTCTGATAAACATTTGAAGAGTGTGAAACGCTACATTCTTCTTTTAGTTTATGTTCATCTATGTATTTGTGTTTGGTTTTAATTTGCACATTTGTTTGGATTAACATGTTTAGCGCCAAACAGCTTACTTTTAAGTCACCATTGTACCTAAAACAGACGCTTTTACACAAGCGAGTAAGCGCGTCAAACCATATGCACCTTTCTGTTTCCAGTTACAAAAACATTTAAATGTAATAAAGGCAGCAAATCTTTTAATTGTATTCATGGGTTGCTTCATGGTTTGATGTTTGCCGCCACTATATTTTATATATTAAAAAGTGCAAATTTCTCAAACTCCTCCTGTTGATCCATAAAATCCATGAATCTTTTTTATATGTTGACAGTTGTTTTCAAATTTTGTATGAATCTTAAAAAGCATTAACCAAGCCACAATCCAAAATGCGGATGAAGAGGGCCTTCACATGTTGCTAAAAAGTTGAACAAAGACGTAAGAAAAGACGAAAACCTGGATGGTCTTTGGAAGTTCCAGATTGTTGAAGTTTTGAAATCACAAAGATTTTCACCAGTTTTGCAGAGTGAGCGAGTGTGCTGCTTTATTTGTCTTCTTGCTGATACGTGGCATTTCAAAAACAGCCTCAGTTGGTGTGAGTTTGGGAACAAAACACGTGTGAATCCGCAAGGACATTCATTTCTACTTTCTGTATCTGTGTTTGAGGTTCCGTCTGTGCTGCAGGTTGACAACTGACTTTGAATGAAGGAAAGTGGTGGTTCAGTGTTAACCTGAAAAATGATCTGTCCTCTTTGTCTGTACAGATTCTTCCTCAAGTTTTTCCTCAAGTGCAACCAGAACTGTCTAAAAAACGCAGGAAACCCACGAGACATGAGGAGGTTCCAGGTAGAAAAACTTCTGTCCTCTCATCATTTAATAGTACAATAGTCTCTCTCTTTCCCTGTGTTTTCTGTCAACTTCTCACATAAGGCCTCGCATGGTTGTGTTTATTGTAGCACATAAACACGGGATCCTGTGTGTGTGTATTTGTGTGTTTCATTGGCTATCGCCACCTTTACAGGAAACATGAGATTCTGACCTTGAAAAGTCAGAATATAACTAAACAAACAATGCAGGGGAACGGCGAGGAGAGTGTTAGATCAAGAAAGGTAGAAAGAAGACGCAAAGAAGGGGGAAAAAAAGATGTGGGCTTGTGAATAAGATGTAAGGCCGTGTGGTCTTTATTATTTCCTTATCTTCACGGCCACCACACAATCAGGAAGACCCCACTTGAGTCTGAGTGGAGATACTGGACACCCAGAAGATACAGATAGATTTATTACCATGGCGTGTGTGTGTGTGTGTGTGATATATATATATATATATATATATATATATATATATATATGTATATGTGTGTGTGTGTGTGTTTGAACCAGCGCAGGGAGAGAGTCGTTTGGTAGCGAGTGTGTGACAATATCTTGTGCCTCTAATTGTGCTGCTCTATTGTAGTGGAACCAGAGAAGACAGCTCTGTTTCTCTGGGGAGATAATAAAGGGCTGGACCCATCAGGAACTATTGAACAGAGGAGGACAGACACCACGCACACACGCACACTTACTTAGTGTGTGTGGAATGTGCTGGTAATAGCAGTGATAAGAGGTTACATTTAAGGAGCTTCTCTCAGTTTCACGCTGTTAACTCCTGCTTGCAGTGATCTCCGGGCCGCCGCACTTAGGAACTCCTCTTTATTTCCTTTCCTACTTGCCCCTCGTCCCTCCTCTGCTCCTCCACCTCTTTGTCCACGCTCCATACTTTCCTCCCCTTTCCTCCACCTGCCGCCTCACCCAACCCTCTTCACCGTTATCTCACCGCTGCTTCCGTCTAACCCGGCCTCGCCAATCCTGTCTCCCCCATGCTGCCCCCTTATCCCCGCCCCCCCCCTCCCCTCATCCCCCCCGCTGCTCCCCAGGTGGTGGTATCGACTACAGTGAGTGTCGATGGACACGTCCTGTCAGTCTCCGACAACATGTTTGTCCACAACAATTCCAAACACGGCCGACGGGCCCGCAGACTGGACCCCGTGGAAGGAACCCAGTCGTACCTCGAACACGGTAAAATGAGTGCGTGTGTGTGTCTGTGTCTGTGCATAAATGTGTGCGAGCAGCATGGCCGCCAGATGGTTGATGGTTTAATCCTATCAGGTGATTCCTGCCCCTCCATATGGCTGATCCAACCCACTACACACACACACACAAAGCTTGGTGCGATGCTCCGTCTGTGTGTGCGTGTGTGTGTGTGTGTGTGTGTCTTTGTGTGTTGTCAGGTCTAATATCATTTTGATTCTCTTTCAGAAGCAAACCCAGAGTAAAGGACATTGTTAAAATTCAGATGAATGCTGATAATCTCTCACACACACACACACACACACACACACACACACACACACACACACACAGGAGGAGGATTTTATTTGACAGGCCAGCTTTCATTGTTGTAATATGGGATTGGATGTGAGCTTACGCACACTCTTATATACCATAGTGACATAAAGCTAAGTTTTATGTAATAGGATGCATTCTGATCCTTCTGTGCGTGTTATTGTTGTCGTATCATTAGTTTAAAGAAATGAGTTGCCTAAATGTCACGTCAGTCGGGCTTTGGGATAAACACCGTAATTAACTAGCACAGATGTTTTTAAAGTAAATTATTTTGGGTGTATTTATTCATTCATATTTATCATAATAATATAAAACATATTAGTTTTATCCTTAAACATTTTGAGAGAAAACTAATTTCAACTGCCACATTGAGCAAATCTGTATTTATTAGTGGGACATGCATGTTTATATAGTGCATATCACCATAAAATCAAGGTTATCTGTTAATTGCATCCCGTGGTCCATAAGAAAAGAGGTTTGGGTTTTTAGGTAAAGCCAGGTACATTCAGTTGTATCTAAAAGGTCTTCAAAAAAGGTCTTTTGAAAAGAAAACGGAAACAAACCCCATCTTGAACCTCTGCACTTATTTCCTTTGTTTATTCTCTCATTGCACTCAGTAAAAAAATCTACAAGGCCAAACCTGGAGAAATGGAGAAGGACTGAGTCAAAGTATCTACAGTGTGCTCAGAGAGGAGGTGTGGTGTGCAGATCTGGACCGAAGCCAAACGGCGAGGGTGTAGCACGGCGACGGGTGCAGATGTAAAAGGGATTAAAAAGGCTTAAAGCCAGATATCCCTCCTTGTTTAGAGTCTGACTTTAAATCAAACGAATGCTTTCTCTGAATCCATTGGCCTGTTCACTTGAGTTCTACGTGTCAGATTTGAACAACCTTTAACTTCAGGACGTCCCCTTCATCGTCCCTCCGTCTTGGCTGCTCTAACCGTCCTCTCATCCCACCAGGAGCAGCTCCCTGCATTAAAGCCATCAGCCCCAGCGAGGGCTGGACTACGGGAGGCGCCACGGTCATCATCATAGGAGACAACTTCTTCGATGGGCTCCAAGTCATCTTCGGTACCATGCTGGTTTGGAGCGAGGTCAGTTTGCCAAGCAGCCGTCGTCCCCCGTCTCGGTGTTGTTTCGACCCCTCCGCCGTGCGCTTTTGCCCTCGGACGTTGGAAGTAATTCAATATGAAAACATACTTGCTCCTCATGGTCGGGCTCTTAACTGTGTGTGATCTTGTGAACAAAAACAAAAAAAAAACACTTACCAACACACACACATATACAAAGCTCGCCGTGGTACTTTTTTGCCAGCACAACTCCTCTACAGAGTGTTTATTTGTCTTCTGACTCCACTCACCGTGAGCGCAGAGCCACCGTGGCTCGATTCCAACAACAACACCCAGTGTGTGTGTGTGTGTGTGTGTGTGTGTGTGTGTGTGTGTTAAGAGCTGTGGGGTTTGTTTACAGTGTTGAGAGCCACACTTACACACACTAACATGTGTACAGAGTCGCAGTTTAGCTCAAACTGACTCCGCTCTCTCGGCGTTACTCAGAGTGGCTCTAATGGATTTTTGGCCAACCAAATGTTTCATTTTCACTCAAGCCGACTATCGGTGCCGAAGAGGAAGAAGCTTGAAAAACTTGTCTGTGTGAAGCTGCATGTTTACTAACTTCTGTTTGTCTGCAGCTTTTCCTTCTTGCTGGATATTTTTTTAAACATTTTTGAACAATTTTTGAAAACCATCCATAACCATCCATTTTGAATTAGTGCATATATATATGTGCAAGATTTTAAATGCATCAGTATCTCGTTCTCCTCCCATTCAGTGTGGACAATAAATCCACCTAAACCAATTCAAGATGAAACTACAGGTCATGTCGGGGATTGTTAAGAACTCACCAGTCGCACTGATACTACTTACTTTGTGTTTTTGTGTACTCACTCTTGTGCCCTTCCCTTCCTTCTCTAGTTGATCACGCCGCATGCCATCCGGGTGCAGACGCCTCCCAGACACATCCCCGGGGTCGTTGAGGTCACTCTGTCTTACAAGTCCAAACAGTTCTGCAAAGGCACACCTGGAAGGTTCATATACACAGGTAGGCCAACACATGCTGTTTTAGCTCTTTGCATTGCATGTAAAACAAACAGAGGCGCGACATACAGCAGAGAACATGTGCAAATCAAACAGAGGGCAGGTGAGTGGCACACGGAAGGCTTTAGGCCGTGATCGTGCCCGGAACATGTTGATAGCTTCTAGCATCTACCCTGCGCAGCACACAGTCTAGAGAGGACCACCAATGTGTCCCTAACAGGCCGCGGTTTGAAAGCGTCCGGGCTAAATGTGGGGAGATTGTTGGCGCTTCAAGCACAGCCGTCAAATGACGGAGAGTTGAGAGCAAAGTGCACGAGGACACCAGGAAGAGTCGCTAGTTCAACACGTTCCACATGTTCCACATGTTCCACCTGGTGGAATTCTGCCTTGGAGACGATCAAATGTGTTGAGTAAAAAAAATTTTTTTAAATCATCAAGTTAGTATTAGTTTAAGTTTATTAATGTATAACTTTTAATCGCAATTAATGCATTTCAAAATGAGAGATTAATCAGTTAATTTTTTGTAATATGCTGACAGCCTTAATAAATATCATTTTAAACGAGTGCATGAAACGTTGCCAGCGTGTGTTTATGTCTGCTTGTTTGAATAGCGTCTGTGAGTTGCAGTTCACTCTCCGGCCAGACAGCGTTGAACTAATGACTGTAGATTAGTCGACATTAACGAGCCACACTGGTAAAAATGCTGCCATAATCAGAGCCTCGTTAAAACCAGCTACAATTAAACAGTCTGCTCTTTATGACTCTCCATGCTGAAACTATTAGTGAAATCATCCAGAACACCCAGTTTACTAACACACATGCACACACACACACATCAACCCACGCATGCATACACGCACACACGCAAACACACAATCTTGGAAGAAGAGTGTGTGATTTCTGACCGGATTGTTGACTCTGAATGAGCATTTTCCTCCAAAACTCAGTCAAGGACGAAAGAGGAAGAAAGAAATGCAGAAGAAAGCCTGTGTGTGTGTGTGTGTGTGTGTGTGTGTGTGTGTGTGTGTGTGTTTGCTCATTTGGTTTGCACATGCATGTGGCAATGGATGGAGGTGATGTGATGTCTGGTATCGATCCGCTCAACATGGCTCCATCACGCCGTAAGAATGACGTCATTCCCAGAGAGAAAAGACAGAAAAGAAAAACAGCTGCAGCATAAATTCTTTAGTGACATTTAATGACCAAAACTATAAAGATGAGGATTTAAAGCCTGATCGATAGAGAAGAAACAACTCACCGTGAATAAATTGTCACTTTTTATGTGGGGTCAAATCCATGAACGCTTTAATATCTCCCAAAGAAGGTTTTAGAAAGTAACATTTAAAGAATGTTATTTTTAAAAAGTGGTTAAAATTTAACGTAAGGATAGAAAAAGTAAAGCAGGGAAGAGGATGCTGAGCAGTTTGACTATTAGACAAAGAAAATAGCTCCACCTGTAGGGATTCATACACGAAATAAAATGGAAACGGATTCTTGAAAGTGCTGAAACAATCTGAGAGAGGAATCTAAAAGACTCTATGCATTTATAAATGTCTTGATGAAGTTGGAAGGACTGAAACATGTAGACTGATTTTCCTTTAATGGGCAGTTTAAGTTGTGCTACGTGTCGCTAAAACGTTCCTGCTCTGCAGTTTCTTTCTGCCCTGCTTCCTCGGTCCGACCCTGAGGCCCGCCGGCTGCTAATTGGTCCGTCTGGTGTCTAACTGCGTCCCCTATTGGCCGGTGATGATCACCCCGCCGCCCGTGACCTCCCCATTGGCTGATCGCTTCAACATGCGACCCAGGAAACGCAATCCGTTACCACGGTTTCCTGACCCCACCTCAAGGTCAACTTCTTCGCTGGTGAAAGGTCGCAGCGGGGGAAACTGATTGGCCCATGAGGTTTCGCGGCGCTTCTTGGCCTCGGTTGCCTCCGGCTGTACGGACCAAGCAATTAAACGCAGACGCACCAGCATATAGCAACAACACGACTTAAACACACACACACACACACACACACACACACACACAAAGCCACCCTTTCAAACATGGGCGCGAGTTGAAAGTAATTGTAAATCAGAGAGATATGAGGGAAAGATGGAGAGTAGTCTGGTAAACAGATGGTCTATACACAGGCACACACACACATATACACGCACACACAGTGTCGAATGGCGGCTTCATTGGCCTGGTGGGCCAACATCACACACTCCTATAAAAAACATATCGGTACAAAGGGGAGATCAATAAATGCTGCCACATACACACAACGTGCATGTATGCAAAGATTCAAATCCCAGCAGAGAAGAAGAAACTTTCAGCAAGAGCCAAAACGGAGTCGAACAATTCAATGCAGTTAATTTAACGGACAAAGAGAAGGAGAGAGAAAAAAGAGTGAAAAATAGAGAAAAATAGAGTGAGACAAGAGAGTCAAAAGCAAGAGACGGAAAGGTGCACTCTTAAAACCAGATTGTAAATCATTGATCTGCTCGTAAGTGGATCACGCATGTACCGCTACACACATGTGCACGCACACAGAGCCCAACACACAGAACGTCGCTGAGAGAAAGAGATCTCATCTCATAAGGGGAAGAATGGAGCAATAATTCAGTGGTATTGAACCGCTGGCTGGCCAGAGAATCGATCCCACCACACCTCCTCTCCTCCACCTCTTCTACGTCAGGCGTGCCTTTTCTTTCATCCACCCGGCTCCACCCCTGCCTCCTCCCTCCTTGACTTCCTTTGCTCTCTTCGGTTTAAACACCATCAACAGATAACCATGGTAACAAGGCCGTGGTAAGGTGATGATGGAAGCGCATGCTGAAGAGGCGTGGACGTGCTTCTCCTCTTTGCCGCTTCCCCCTCTACTCTTCTTCCGTCTGCCTTTTTATTGTGAAACAGGAGTGGAGGGTCTGTCCTCATGAAACTTCTATGAGTATTGATCTGCGGGCGGCCCCAGACCGGGAGGAAGAGCCAGGCTGCAGGGAGCGTGATGGAGGACTGGATGGGTGGATGTGGATGGATGAAAGTGGCAGAAGGTGTAGTTAAGAAAGAGAGGGGGGGGACGGAGCATCGGCGAGGGAGGACGGGGAGGTGGAGAAGAAGAGAAGGGATTCGTGGTGGAGACGCAGGCAGCACGTTCTTTGTTCAGTATGTTGTAACAACACCTCTGGATATTTGAACATTTAAGGAAAATAAGAAATTATAAATGTTCTGACTGTTGTTGGAATGGTGGGAAATAGCCATCAACTAACCAAAGTGTTTTTTTTTTCGCTGTGACTGTGATCATTCCTGCCCCATTGGTCATTTCAATCAAAGATCAAGAAGGGTAAAAACGCACCAAGGGATTTTTAGGAAAGACCAAAAAAAATCCACAACACAACTCAAAGTGTCAATTCTCCTTTAGAATGAAACATCATTTTTGTTACAGCTGCAGTTTTAAACCGTTTGATGTGGTTGACATTGTAATTTGAAGCAAACAAAAACAAAAACATGCGGCAAAGGTTATTTTGTATAAACACTTTCTAACTGATCGTTGTGTTGTTTTGTCGCTCATGTTGGATGTTGGTGTTGTTGACGTCTTCTCAGCCGGAGTTGTACATCTTAAAAACAGCGTCGCTGGGACGTCTTTCATGTGTGCGACTGGACGTGTGTGTTTGCAGTCTGCGCGTGTCGGTGTGACCATTGTTTCTGTGTTTGGACCCACGGATTCTTTTTACTACTGATGTGGAATCAATTGGATGGATTTTGCTGCGTTGATACTATTTCTGTTTCTGTGCAAAAACGAAACCACCAAAGAAATCGTTGGAGAAATCCGACCTTTTGTCTTCAAAGTACACACACAATCTCTGATATTAACCTCCACGCACACAGACCTACACAAACCCATAAACACGCATACAAACGCACACACCGCGCAGTGATTTAGGGAGCACATTGTTCTATCAATAAAGAGTCGGTTGGAGACATTTTTAGGCCTAAGGCATGAAAACTACTCCAGGTCATCCTGTTATGTACATGTTGTGTATTTCTGTGTGTGCGTGTGTTATATTAAGAGTTGGCATCGGTTAAGCGTCTCCAGAGATGAACAGAGCGTGTGTATCTGACACTGGCAGTTATTTCTGACAGTTGATATCCCACCGACTGTTAGGCATCTGTTTTTGTAGTTTTGTTTTTCTCAGCGGCGTCGAGCTTTCCGTTTAACAAACGCCTCCTTTATCCCATCTCCTCTTTTTTAACTCAATTGTATTATTTTAGTCTCCTTTTCTTCCATCTAGCCCGTATTTCACTTTCTCCTCAGTTCTCCTCGACCTAACTCCTCTACACCGATCATGTTGATGTAATTAGAATATATAAATCAAAATGTGTACAGAATTAAAAGATAACAAATGAATGGAAGAAGTATTGTTCAGGACAGTTTAACATCTGGTATTTATGAAGTTATGGGGCTAACAAATTGACTACTTTGACAGTTTGACACCAGAAACTTGGGTGTGATGTGATAATAAAATAGAGACACATATAACACACACACACACACACACACACACACACACACAAAAACACAACTACACACACAAAAATAAACCATAAAACATCACATAATTGTTCAGCCGCAAGTAATTTATTAGTGTATTAGTGGATGTGGAAAGTCCCAAATATCCCTCCAGCTGCACACTTGGACAACAAACACACGCACACACAGATGCACCCCATATCTACATCTCTTCATGTAGTGATGCTCTTCTACCTCTTTCTTCTTATCTTATTCCCAACCTTCATCTGTCACAGACACACACACACACACACACACACACACACACACACACAAGGTACACATGCCCTCAGTTTAGCATAGCAGGTTCAGTAATGGGCTGAAGACACATGTTCATCACACAGACGTCTTTAAACTCCGACTGATAGAGCTTTCAGAGCCTGACTTGATTGACATGCTGATCGGATAAAGACTAGAGAGGAACATAATTGCAACATTATAGTGCACACTAAGCATTCTTTAATACCCTTTAAATTATACCTCTAGTGCTATTATCATACAGATGCTTTTGACACCATGAGTTATTCCACTAGATCTTTTCATCTTTGAACATTTGCATGTTGTTGGGCTTCTATTCTTAATGTCGATAGCAGAACAGCAGTGTTTTTAGCACTCAGAAGGATTTCATTCAAGACATGTCTGAAGGTAAATCCCCGTCAATTTCCACGAGCACGAAAGATATCCACAAGTGTAGAGTTCACTCGTGTGCTCAACCAGCTGTGCACGACTTTTCGAGAGCGTTTTTACGTCCCTGCGTGCAGAGTATTTACGCTCTTGCTCACAAAACCTTCACCTGCTGTTTTTCCTTTTTGACAGGAAGTGGACGGTTAACAAATCTTCCCAGCAGGTTTTCTGTTGTTTCCTTTGTCAGGGACATGTAGTAATGGAACTCTAAGTTGCCCGTGTGAGTGTGAATGCTTGTTTTTCTCTGCGTAATAGTCGTGCATTTTACAATATATGACATCATCGATATTTTGTTGAAAATCAGTAGCTTTCGGGAATTAGTTGATAACGGAAGATGTACTGTTCCCTAGAATTGTCCCGGAAGTTGAAGTTGTCTTCATGCAGATTCTGTGCAATCTGCAGCATGAAGCTGGACGAATTGACAATGAAACCTCATTTGTTACTCATTCACATTTTTTTCCCTCTGCCTTTTTCTCTGCAGCATTGAATGAGCCGACCATTGACTACGGTTTCCAAAGGCTTCAGAAGGTCATTCCTCGGCACCCTGGGGATCCCGAGAGGCTACCAAAGGTACCCATGGAAATTTATATTCACTTTTTGTCTGCACAATTATTTAATGCCATAGGCGGACAATGGACGCAGAATTAAAAGGCTTATGGGCGCTTCAAACAGACACAAACAGTGTAGCTCCTACAGAGATCAAACCTGCAACTTCTCAGTTGACACTAAGCTACTCTGCTTTCAAAGAAGAAACACAAAGAGATTACATAAATTCAAAACACTAAGAACAACATATTTTTTTGTTTATGTTTTAATTGTTTGTTTTGTGTGTTATTTTTATATTTCTAAGCAGAATATGTCTTTTCGAATCTCTTGTGGTTTGTGCTTTTACCCTCTTTGTGAACTCTGTGTCTGTGTGAGCTGCGAAACCCGTTCGCAGGATGCGTTTGAATCTGCTTCAGATCAGAGTCATATCTGATTATTTGTTTATCAGCTGGAGATCAAGCAGCGTGTTTAAAAGATCAGCACATGGAAACTATTATCACCAAACGTTGAGCGCGGCTTTGATAGCAAACCCTGTCATCATGATCTGTACATGCAGGATGACTTTTAGTTTGTGTGTCTGTGTGTGTGTGTGTGTGTGCATGTGGGTGAACACACGACTTCGAGCTTACCTATCTGGGTGGGCAGGGTCATGACCTTTTAAACAGCTGCCATTGATTGGCTCCCTGTCCCCTCTGGAGCCGCTCCAGGACTGGCTGTCTGCGCTGTGACATCATCAAAGAGGGCGCCGCTCATGATGTGATGATGTGGCTATGAAGCGACCTCATCGCCACCCTGCCGACGCCCTGCCGACACCCTGCCTCCCGCTCATGTGTTAGCAATCAAATGTGCAGTATCCCCACGGACGTGTTAAATACATCACGCACAAACTTCACGCTTCTAATCTTGTGAAGACTGTGGATCCATAGTCTCAATGGTCGTGTTGGGAAACAGGCAGATTGTAATAAGGGTAATCTGACTGAGATGTGCTGTGAGTGTATGTTTGGTTGTCTAAATGTTTGTGGGTTTCAGTACCTGATTTATCCAAGAGCTTCTTATTTGACACATGGGTCTTCATCTGTGAATTTCCTACAAAATAAAGAGGGGTTGTTGTTTTATTTATTTATACAATGGATAATTTGATCTAAGAAATCAAATTGCTCAGACCTGCATTTTGTTCTGATGACGCCTGCTGGGGTTGTAGAAAAATAGTTGGCTATTTTCTTTGTTGTTATTATCCTTATTATGGATGGAGCATTGTGATTCTTATCATTACTGTTTAACACAAATGTGCCACTTCTGACCCCAGTTTAGCATTAAGCTCAAGTTTGTTAAGCAACATGATCTGACACATGAAAAACTACAGTGAGAGAACCAACTTAACCCTGCAGATAGTTTGTTACACAGAACCACCATGGAAGCCGCCAAAGGCTCTGAATCGAGTGATTGCATGAACCGTCTGACAAGTAAACGCTTTGGCTCGTCTTTCAAAGGAGTGTGATGTGAGTGATGCTACTGCAGCATCCACTCTAAAACCTTTTTAAAAAAGGCCCCATTGTTGTTTCCAGCGAGCCGACGCCTCTCTGTATCGTCTCAGACTCACTTAAGCCGCGTGGTTGCCAGTAGCTCCTTGTTGATCCGTGCTCGTTCTTACCGGACACACGTTAATTAGTTGAAGTCTGAAGGATAACGGTAAAATGAAATGCAACCAGAGTGTCTGGATCAGCGCCAGATGTGCAGTACCTTCAGAGCATTGAGCTCTGGCAGTCCGGCATCCGAAAAATCAGAATTTATTTTAATTAATTTTAAGGATTTTAATTTAGATTTCAATTGTCCACACTGCCCATGCATGTTGATGTGTGTGTCTGCGGGTGTGTTTGTATGCGTTATAACAAACTGGCCATTTTGGTTGTCGCCAGATACAAACTTGAATCTTGTTGGGAGAATCGATCAGCCTTTTCATTGCAGTTATTCGAGTTGGTTACAAGCACCATGAAGAGACAGACAGACAGACAGACAGACAGGGCAGTGGAGTGTATGAGAGGATTATCAGTGGACAGACGATTCTTTTATTGTTCAGTGAACATTAAAGTGATTTTTCCCTCCACACACACACACACACACACACAAATACGGGTGTTATAGCTGCCAGTTTGTGTGACCGCGATCTCTTCAGCATCCTTCCATATGTGCACAAGCAGTTACTGCATATAATGAAACGCATACAAAGAGGGAAGCCTAAAAAAACACTCCAGCTCTTTTATGACTCAATTACACGCTTGTAAAACTGGAGCTTCTTAGTAAAACCCAAAGTATTAAGAATGCTGCAGAATGTCTTTTTAATTGCAAAATGTTTGCTGAGTGTACATTAAAATCGGCTGCTAATCAGATGTGTGGTAACTAGCAGTAACTAAGCAGATGCAGAATTTATTCTTTGGATGCACAAAGAAATCAATGACATCTCATGTTCACTTTTGTTGCCAAAAAAAACAGCACTGAAAGATAATAAACTCTCAGGTTTCAGAATATTTCTCAAATGTAATGAAGAAAGACTGTCTTTGCACAGATTGCATTTAGAAAAGCAATAACTGCACAATTGTTAATCACACAATTACTGGAATAAAGTCAGATTTGTTATTTTTCACTGGATTTATTATTTATTTATTATTTCCCAAGATTTCATTGCGGAATATTAAAGTAATGGCATATTGTTGACAGTTATGTCCATGCCCCATTAAATACAGAACCACGATACTTTGAAGGATTACTTATGTGTCTAAAAATGTGCAGACCTTCCTTTGTGAAAGGTTTGAATGGTCACTGGTGACCTCCTTTGGTGACTCACTCAGCTGACCTGTATGCGCCTCCTTTTGATGATGTCACACGACGTACTCAGGTCCTGACATCAGCATTATCACAATGAGTAATTCTGGTGATGCAGACTGGAAACCTTCAATCTGTCTATTTATGTACACTGTATATAGTTGTTAATATTCACCAGTAATGAGAATTGGTCTGTACATATATATATATATATATATATATATATATATATATATATATATATATATATATATATATATATGTGTATACACATATGGGTGTGTGCGATTGGGCCCACATCCCTCTGAGCCCAGATGTGCGGTATGACATCATCTAGGTGTGACCCTGCGTGTACGGCATCCCTAATGGGACATTAGAAGCGGATCAAGCCACTAATGTAGCAGCATTAGGGAGGAATAAGTCATGTGTGTGTCATGTCTGTGCTGGGTCGGGACACGCACATCACACACACACACATCAAATACAGTAGATAACCAGCATTTCCTCGTCCTTATGTTTACAATGTGTGTGTGTGTGTGTGTGTGTGTGTGTGTGTGTGTGTGTGTGTGTGTGTGTATGTATGGTTATCACATTAGAGCCGTTCATGACCTACACAGTAAAAGCCTTGACACCTCCAGTTATTTCCATCTCTCTGCCAACACAGCTGCATTTTCTTTCACAGCTTCATATTTTTTCACTTGTCTCTGACTGTTCGTCTGTCCGTATATTTACCTGACACAGACAAGAATAGATTACACCAAACATGTCTAAATGAGGATTTAAATATACTCAAAGACTTGTGTTTGTGATTCTTTTTTAAAGACTGACAAGACACGAAAATGATGGGTACATGTCAGGCGCATACTAAGTATTTGTCAACAGATAAAGACAATGTAGGACAATCACATGAAACAAGACAAATTATATACTTTTATATTGAAGCTTCAAATCCGGCTTTATTGCAGCAATTAAAGGAATCAAAGAAAAAGCCTGCGATCCGTGATTAACAACAACACGTTTCAGAGTTTGTGTCTGTCAACGTTGTCACAAGTGATCGCTATGGATCGCAATGAAGCACAAACTCAGTTCATCCGTTTGAACTGACACCCAAGAGACGGCTTTTGTCCCCAATTTCAATTTATTATTGACAGAAGTTGAAGATCTCAATCAGTTTTGAAACTAAACGATCGACAAAACTTTTTCATTCCGATGCATCTCAACGCAATGCAGCTGGAAGTTCATTGTTCATTTGTGTTGTGCAGGAAATAATCCGGCAAACAATTCTTTACAATTTACAGACGCGACCTGGGAGAAATGATTTAGGTGATGTCGTTTTGTGGTTTGTGATATTGTGGTTTCAAAAAAGAAAAAAAAAACGTTAACAGGCAAAGAATGGTAAGCGCATCGATCCAGGGGCATCGAGTGATTTAGTAGCAGAGCCCCAAGACTTTATAATGATGATATTACCAGAGGATCATCTTTCCTTCCCATTTATCAGCTACTTCCTTACTGGAACCGCTCGCATATACAGGATCCGATTTCTGTGAATGTGTGTGTGTTTGGTGTGTGTGTAAGAGAGAGCCACTCAGCTCACCAGTCTAATATGTGGAGGTTAGCGGAGAACCTGCCCGGCCAAAATAATGTGTAAAAGATTGAATTTAGCACCGTGGAGGGGAACACTAAAACTGCTGACTGGCTCTGTGACCACGAACATATTGCCTCTCCATCAGCGTATGTGTGTGTGTGTATAAGTGATTGTGTCGCATACTGTAGGTTGATTCTGTAAAGAACTGAGTGTAGAAACAACAAGACATTATCTGTTAAACAAGACACCTTAGAGTCCGGGGGGGTCAAGAGAGAAAGAGGGAGAGACTGGAAAGGGACTGAAACAAAGAGATTAACATGTGAATAACAAATAACAAAACTCCTTCTTGTTGCAAAGTAATCCACCTTTACAGTAGCTACACTGGATGAATTTTAATCATTGAATAAAAACCACGGCAGTCACTCCACAACTTTTCACATTATATAAGTGTTCTCTGATATGAACAGTAATACACAGCAGAAGAGCCTACAAAGCTTTTGAAATTTACTTCAGAATGTCATTTAGAACCAAATACACAGAAAAGCTCCAGACTTGACAGCAGCATAATCGGCCTTTAAAGGGAGCGAAGATGTGTATTTTTACTCAGATATTTTCTCTTCTCTTTCTCAGGAGGTTATTTTAAAGAGAGCAGCCGACTTGGTAGAAGCCCTTTATGGTTTGCCCCATAACAACCAGGTGAGAATCACGCACAAACAAAAAAGAGAAAAGGAAAGGGTTGTTTCACGTGTCTTTTGGTGGTAACCGCTCCTTTGCTCTCTGTCTCTTCCTGTAGGAGATCATTCTGAAACGCGCGGCGGACATTGCAGAAGCTCTCCATAGCGTTCCGCGAGGACACTCCCAGCTCTCCGGCTCCAACCACAGCGGTATGATGGGAGTCAACTCCTTCACTGGGCAGCTGTCCGTCAATGTCTCCGAACCCCCGCAGGCCAATCAGGGTGAGGCTATGAAAGTCTTCGTTTGGATGTCAATGAGTTTGACCAAGAAAACTCAGAATATTGTTTACTTTTGAGATATTTAGAAAGAAATGCTTAGCATCTGATACAAGTTGCCTCTTGCATTATAATCAAAACGTTTTGAAAATCCAATAAAAATTCTTCTTAGAATGTATTAATATGGGCGTTTCCAAGTAACCAGATGTTAACAGGCAGCTTAACTGCTTTGTCCCTTAACAATTGCCTACAAAGTATTACAGTGACAGGTTAAAAGTTAAAATATGCAAAAAGAAACACTATTTCATGCCAACGTTTTAGGTGCCGTTTACTGAATAATCTTCAGATGAGACCAGTCGAATAAACCTCTGATTTTGTACTACAGATGTTTTCTTTCCAGCAGTCTAACAGAAGACGATGAGATGGAAGAACATATTTTGTCTGTTTCTGTTTATCTGTGTTCACATAACTCCGACCAACTGTCTAATCACTTCATGCTCCTCCTCCTCCTCCTCCTCCTCCTCCTCCTCCTGCGTGCAGGATTCGTGCGCAGCAGCAGCAGCAGCGTGTCCCCTCACGGCTACGTGCCCAGCTCCACGCCGCAGCAGACCAGTTACACTTCTGTCACCAGCACCATGAATGGCTACGCAATCAACACCGGCATGAACAACCTGGGAGGCTCGCCTACTTTCCTCAACGGCTCTGCAGCCAACTCGCCTTATGCTAGTGAGTGCGCATGTGTGTGTCCACTCCACTGCCAATCGCACACTACGCAGCAGAAAGGTTCACGTTTCATCAGCCCCTAGTTCCTACAATGAGGATCGCTTAGCGGCCACCGAAACCCTTTCGAATGCAGTTCTGTAGCAGCTGGTTGGATAACAGGTGTTAATAATTGCACACGTTCATAGGAATCTTTCACACGGCACCTGCGCACGTCTCTGGACTCAGTCCCGAATGAAGGTTTCCCCCCATGAGCCTTTCTGTCTCTGTGCATTCAAAAGAAATCACCAATCCATTTTGTCCTCCTACCATCTCCTACCATCTCTTACCTCCTTCCCTCGCTTCTTTCCATCCGGCAGCCACATCTCTTTCCTCTCGGTTGGTTAATCGCATCGCTTGTCCATTTAGCGGGAAAGCAAGAGGGAGGAAGGGTTACGGATTCGGATGGAGACGTTGTATCTTTCCTGATATCCTTCTCATTGCCGATAAAATGAGGATCTGACTTTGGAAGAGTGGAACCAGTTGTTTAAATGAGTCTCAAAGGTGTCTGATGTTCACTTGAAGCTGTTTCTGCAGGAACCCAACTTTGTTACAGAGGCATTTTCACATTAAAACACAACGCTTTCCCAAAACGTTGGCCAAGTCCAGGTCACGAAAGCTCACGATGAAAGAAGGCAAAGATGCTTCTGACTATGACAATTTCTAGACTTTTTTTAAAACAAACAAATCTATACAAACATGTCTGGCACAATGTAGAGAATTTAAAATTTAAGCCATGAATTTCAATGAAGTGACCATAATCTCTCTCCTTTATTCTCACCCTTCGTCCTTAATCCATCCTTTCGTTCATAACACCACCTCCCTCCTTCTCTCTTTCTCCTTATCCCTCCTCTCTTCCCTAAAACACTGAATTACCACCAGTTGTTCCATCCAGCCCCACCATGGCCTCCTCCACCTCTCTCCCCTCCAACTGCTCCTCCTCTTCTGGCGTTTTCTCCTTCTCTCCAGCCAACATGGTGTCGGCGGCCGTTAAGCAGAAGTCTGCCTTCGCTCCAGTGGTCAGGCCCTCCTCCTCGCCTCCGCCCTCGTGCACCAGCTCCAACGTCAACGGCCTCCAAGGTAATTCGCCATGACGGCGGGCCGGGCGAGAGGACGTCCCCAGCAGATACTCTGCCATTACCGTCCCCGTTATGTTTCACATTGTTCTCTGAACAAACAGTAGGTGCACGGTCGAGGTTTAGTTCTTAGTTCAGCCCACTGCTTTGATTCATGCAGGAATGTGTCAATAATGGTTAGATGGATTGCAGGGATATTTTGCTCAAGCAATCCGAGTTTATACACCAATGAGCTGTTAATTCTTATTAAACACACACACGCGTCGTCGTATAAGAAGCGTCGTAAAATTTTGCTAAAAACAATAACAGCTGGTTCTGTTGAGATACACTCTGCAGTGTGTGTGTGTGTGTGTGTGTGTGTGTGTGTGTGGCGTTAGCTGTTAGCAATGAGCTGATCGCACTGTCCAAAGCAATAAATGTGAGCAAACTGTGTTTCTGAGCGCAGATTATCGGCCGTGCACCCGACTGTGATGTCATCATTAGCGGGGCCCTATTGGCCAAGGCCAGAGTGGGAGGAGTCAGCAGACAGTCACAGGTTGATGAAAGGTGTTTTGAGAAAGTGAGAGTCAGTGCAACCACAAGAGCTGCTTGAGCGCTCAACCACTACCGGCCATGCAAAGTATTATGCAGATTAGCCACAGACGCACGTGGACAACCACAAGCAAAATCAGGTTACTTTTCTAATGAGGAAAAGTTTGCTTTTTGTACTACTTTGATCCCTCCTCCCTCTGATTTCTAACCCTGTTATATTCCCCTGACCTTACAACCTTTCTTTGTTGTTTCTCTCTTCTGCGTGTCTCCCTTCTTCTCTCTACCAGATCAAACCTTTGTGGACTCTAGCAAGTACTCAACAGCCAACTCTCTACAAGGCCTGGCTTTCACCTGAAGTATGTGCCTCGACTATCTTTTCAAGCAGATTACTGTTTTTGCACATTTTGAATGAGTAAATTTACTAATTTCAATACAGTTATATTTGCTTGTTTGACATGTTCTACCTCTGAATGATCTTCCACTCACCTTACTAAACCTCACTCAACCCAACATATCTTTCCTGTCTCACCAGCCTGGTCTATCCTGTCCTCCCAATCTCACTTCCGTCTCATCATCACCTCTTCGTCCTCTTCAGTTGTACCTTTTCATCCGCACCTCATCCCACGGCACAGATCAAACATTCTGTTGCCTAGTAACTCCTCCCTGTCTTCCAGTTGGCTTGAGAAAAAGACAGGAAGTTATTTAGCATTTACAGAGACAAGAAAAAAAGGAACATTTGGCAAAGAGAATTTATTTCTCAACATTGCTGGCTTTGTTTAGCTGTGTGTGTGTGTGTGTGTGTGTGTGTGTGTGTGTGTGTGTGTGTGTGTGTGTGTGTGTGTGTGTGTGTGTGTGACAGAGTCTGTGCGGGGTGTGGGAACTGAGAGCGCAGCCTCAAAGCACAGCTGACATAAACACTCCCCACTTACAGACACACACACACACACTTTCCTCTGTCACACACACGCAGGGATCACACGCTGGCAGCTTACCATGGAGCGATCGACAATGACAGCTGTTCGACTCTCTCGACAGGTTTTAGGGGCGGAATACCTGTCCTAGTGTTTGTGTGCTTGTGAGCACCTGATAAACAAAGGAAGCAGGTTCGATGCACAATTTAAAAACATTTAGTTCATGTTTTTCTTCTTCTGTGTGTATATATGTGCGTGGTAGCATTTACTTGTGCAGCAGTCTTAAGCCTTCAAAGTGAGGACATTTTGGCAAGTCCTACGTCCCAGACATGGTTTGACTGTTCATGTTAGAATTGCTGAGGGTTGATGATCACAGTGAGATGATAGATACATAGATAGTTTATTGATCCCTCAAGAGGGAAATTTTGTTATCACAGCAGCATGTACAGGGAAGAAAATAGAATTAAAAGATACACAATATAATAAGATAAAACATATTAAATTATTAAATAAAATAAAATAAAATAAAGTGAAACAAAAGAATAACCTTCAAGAAGAGAGGGTACGGAATACAGTTTATCACAAAGATGGGAGTACAAAGTTTAGTGTGTGTGTGTGTGTGTGTGTGTGTGTGTGTGTGTGTGTGTGTGTGAGTGTGTGACTTTGGGCTGGGCTCTGTCTCTCACATGTTGACACCCATCCCTTGGGTTATTATACACCATGATGCAATCTCTGAGGCACACACAAACACACAATAAAATACACTAACTGTTCTCTCGCACAACCAAATGTGTGTGTCTGCGTGTTGGTGTGTGTATTTGTGTGGGTGGGTGTGTTTGAGCGAGCAGCGTTGCCAAAATCCAACTTATACTGTATGATGTGTCTCTGCTCGATTTGTTACTGATTCATTGGTCTATTGATGTTTTAAATGTCACTGCAGTCACACAGCTGCACAGATGTGAAGACATATTGATCTATTTATGACATTTTTTTTATGACAATGAAAACTATTTGGCTGTATTTTAATAGGTTTCCCCCCTTTCTCTCCCTCTGTTTGTTTCTCCACCCAACAGCAATCCCAGGAATGATAGTTCCACACATGTAAAGGTGAGAATGACTGTGTGTGTGTGTGTGTGTGTGTGTGTGTGTGTGTGTGTGTGTGTGTGTGTGTGTGTCAGATGAACCAAGCACATCCACGCTGGTCCCTGCAGAGGATTCCGATGCGAGTCAGACTCCGGTCGGGGATCGATGTCCCGATCTGAAGGAACAAACCCAACTCAGGCCTTTCTAACACAAAAACAACAGCGAGAAAAAACAGACGAGGAACAAAAAACAAAGACTGTTTGCAAAGAAATAAGTTGTTTGGACTTTGTACACCGTGATGCTTTATAGGAGAACGGCCACGCCTACATTATGACTCTCCACAGACGCAGGAAGTGTATTTATTTTGGACATAATCCACTTCTTCCCTTGAATGACTTCTTTTTGTGCAACAGTTAAAGTTTGATAATCATCTTCTGACTGTATCTCACGTGACGGATTTTCTATTAATGAAGGAATATAATGTGAAGAACGCCTGATGATGATGGTGGGGACTATGATGATGATGATGATGAGATAAGGCTGCAAGATTCATAGAGGGTCAAATCCAGCCGACACAGACAAGCCAAACCAGACACACACTTTTGCTTCTTATTGCCAAATCCACACCACCATCTCCACAAGCACTTCGAGGGGCGAGGTCTTCCTGTGCAGATGCTTCCCCGCCTGTTGCAGTCAAGAAATCCCCACGTTTCAGCCAACAGAAGGTGTTGAGGGAAACAAAATCTGTCATTTGACAAACCAGGAATAAAAGACAGAAAGAAGACTCGCTGTCGGTCGGTCTCAGGATAGAAGTTCATACTTACTTGCATTGGTTTGTGATCGCCGGGAGCCAACGGAGGAACTGACTCACCTCCTTCACCGAGACCTCCGTCGGCCTTCTTACCACACGATCTGCTAAGAAGTCGGGGAGGATGCGTTTTAAAGACTGCTGCCAGTTTGTTGTGAAAGTCGCTTTCTCAAATGTTTGGTCTCAGTACACGAATCCTTGTTTCTGTTTTGTTTTTCTTTTGGTTGGCTCTCAGTTTATTTTGTTAGCTGGACATTTCTCTGCTGACTGAGAGAATTGCAGTCAGAAAGTAATCCAGTGGTGTGGCTTTAAACCGAGTCTCTACGTAATATCACAATATGGGAAATTAGCACAACTTCTTTGTGGAGGCGTCACGTAATGAGTTCAAATCCACCACAAGGAACAAATTATATTTCTGCATCAAAAGCTAGTTGTTAAGGTGTAAGAACAAAAACATTATGTGGAGGTTTAACATTACTGGAGTAAAGTCAGTGTAGACTTTTAGGTTCACGGGAGCACAAACACCACAATTTTAGTTTTCCATTGGCTTGGTTTCATATAATTTGAACACGCGTAATGGGCTTTGAAGAGGTCATCGTCATTTCCCTTATTGTGGTGAGATTAAAAAAATCTGCTTTTGATTTCAATTCATTTTTACAGAACAACTGTAATTCTCTGCATCCCAGTTTGCACTTCAAGAGGAAAAGATGAGGTAGGAATTTCTTTAAGTCTTGTTTAAGTTTTTCTTTTTTTTCCACGGCGGGATAATTAGCCAGCAACACGTCTTAAATGCACACGCAAAGTAACTGATGAATTGTTGTGAAAGTCACTGTAGTGCGTGGGATTAAACAGTCTTAATTAATTTATGATTCTGTACGTTTTTTTGCCCAAAGCCCTTGTTTGAGATTTTACTGCGTGAACAGTCTTACACCACAGCTTCAACTATGGTTTACTTTGGGGTCATACATGCTGGAATGCCACATTATGTACAACTTACAACGTTGCTTTCATGCCTGTAGTAGGTTAATTGTTTTATTTTTTGTCACTAAATTCATGGTATTTGCCAGTAAATTTCGATTCAGACAGAAAAACTAACTGGCATCACATGCTGATAAAGTAAACCCTTCATATTTGAGATTAATCAGTTAATCAGTAACTCCTGCTCGAGGGGATCCAGGCTGAATATAGTGTAGTGCTTGATAAATAGAGGAAGAAAATTGAAAATAAAATTCAATTTTTAAATCTACAATGGGTGAAAGCAACCTCCTCAGCCAGAAGGCAGTACTTCTTCTTCTTCAGAGCATTAATTCAAAATGTGGATGAACTTTTTAAGGATTCTTTTTAAATGGAATAAAAAACTTGAGAAAACTCACATGATAAAAGATGTTTCCCTTGATCCATCACTCGTGTGCAAGGATTTCAACGTCATTAACCATTTTGTATATTGCGTTTGTTTATTAAAGGCCATACTTCCACCGCTGATTTCAATCAAACTAAAATAAGCCATGTTGTCATGTTTTTTTATTTGTCAGAAAAGCAGGCGGACATTTTTTATTTGCCACCATGTTGTTGGTATAATTATTCTAAAGGATTGCATCATTTAGTTGCGTTATCTAGGTGTAGCGTTCATAAATATGTCTTTATGAAGGTCTGTGTTTGGTCTTCCATGGATTCGAAGAACAGAACTTTCTCCTGTTTTCTGTCTTCTCTTTGCTCCCTCTGTCTGCTCGTTCTTTCCTTTCCCTTTACAAAATGAGCCACCTATTTATTTGATCTCAAATATGGGTCTTGAGACCACTCTTCTGTTTGCCTCCACGTGTGATAGTGCCTGCGACTGTGTGTCTGAGTGTGACGTCATTTTTCTCTGAAAGAAAAATGTGATGTTTTGAAGTTAAAGAATGTTTTTCTTTTCATAGTACATATATAAATACCTGTACAGGAATAAGTACATGGAGGGTTTGGTTAAAAGAAGAATGATCCGAAGCAACAGTACTGGTTCATCGTGGCTTGTCTGCGGTCAGAGTGGTGGTCACCATCAATGCTCACATTTATCCGGGGAAGAGTAAAGAGGAAGCTACTGTAAAGATAATGTTGATTCTTTTTTTATTTTAAACTTTGAAGTGTAAAATAACTTTTTGATTCTCTATATTTAATTAAAGTTCTTCTCTGTGAGAAAGGTGTCATCTTTTTTTCAATTAGCTGCTTGTCAGGTCAATCAATCAAATTTTCAAGTGAGGATACATTTAAGGGAATTGATACACACCAGCATAGCAAAAAGTGAGAAATGAGGTGAATTTGCTATCAGGCACAGAGTAAAAGGATAACATTTGCTGACTGCGGTCTGTCTAATCCCGTGGTCCAAAAGTATCACACAATATCAGCCTAAAAATGGCCTCACCTGACGGACTTTGACCCACACTCAAATTTACAGAAAGTGTTTCTGTAAATGCATTAAAATATGCAACACACACAAAGAACATAAAATAAACCCATTCAGCAACTGATAAGGGCGACTGTGGGTGAGTGGAGAGCACGGTCGTCCTCCACTCAGAGGGTTGTCGGTTCGATCCCAAGCCCGGCTAACCCGCATGTCGATGTGTCCTTGGGCAAGACCCTTAACCCAACATTGCTCCTGTAGCTGCGACTACAGTGTGTGAATATTAGTTACTGATGGGAAGGTGTCACTGTGTATGGTTCTCCTGTTATCAGTGTATGAATGGGTGAATGATGTCATGTAGTGTTAAAGCGCTTTGAGTGGTCGGAAGACTAGAAAAGCGCTGTACAAGTACAGACCATTTACATAAAAGTCACTAACATCTTGTATCAGCAATCAACGATTCATTGATTCAAACGAGGCGTCTCAGGTCTCATACCAGTGCTTTTAAAAGTAATTCACAGATTATTATATCATAAATGTTCAAATAAAATACATTAAACCTGATGTTACCTCCTTCTTGTTGTCCCCATGTTACACTCTATTCCAGTAACGATCACATAGAGAGAGATGCTTCTGAGTCAAACTGTCACATTATAGGTTGTAAAAGTCACACAGATGATATTCCCTTGATTTCCTTTATTACTTTCTATTTCACCTCCATTCAGCTGTTTCAGTTTCTAGCCGCCCTGATGTTAAGCAAGGCTACCAGCATTGCCAGAGATGTGGACACACTGTGTGCGTGTGTGTGTGTGTGTGTGTGTGTGTGTGTGTGTGTGTGTGTGTGTGTGTGTGTGTGTGTGTGTGTGTGTGTGTGTGCGTGTGTGTGTGTGTTCATAAACAATACAAATTCTCTAGTGAGAATCTTTTCTGTAATGAGACAGATGGGCCCTGCCTGGAGTTACCTATCAGCACAACCACAGGCTATGTGTGCCTGAGTGTGTGTGTGTGTGTGTGTGTGTGTGGTGTTGTTCTCCTATCCTTAGCCTGCAGGCTTAATCAAAGAGGAGCCACAGATGTCTTATTGACACCAATTAGTTCCTGTCTCACGGCACACGCACACACACGTTGATGTATTTAGGGTTTGAACACACATTTTGTATAGAGCTGATATGAGTTCAATTTGGGATTATTTATAGCCTTCGTTTTGATGAGTTGAAGAATCCAGTCAATTTTTTGGAGCTGCACGTATTCACAATTCACAAAAACACACCAGTTCAACTGCTCGATGCCTCTTTGAGTGCACGTGTGTGTGCGCGTGTGTGTATGTATGATAAGTAAGTCGAGACAGTACGTAATGACCTCCATCCGCTAATGCATGTCCACTCACTACAAACGTTTGTGCTCCGTCCTCTTACTGCTAGCGTGTCATGTCCCGCCCCTCACGACATCGCCCACCTGGCTGTTTGGTGACTAGCTCAGGGAGCTCACACACACACACACACACACACACACACACACACACACACACACACACACCCTAATCCTCTCTCTCCTCCTCCTCCACCCTCCTTCAGTGTGACTCAAACCCTTTATGTACACAGGCTGTACACGCTGACAATAAGCTTTCTTTTGAGGTTTGGCTCTGCTCACAGTTTCAAAATCAAGAATATGAACAACAAGTTTCAAAGTGCAGCAAAACGTGAAAAGTGGAGAAAAGCCGCTTTGACCTCACAGCGTGGTGAAACGTAAAAGTGAGGAGCTGCCGTTGTGAAACATGCACATATGGAAAGCAAATTATGCTGACTTTATTTTCACTAATTTGCACATCCTGCATTAGTTAAAAGATACATTATACTGTAAGTGATTAATTACCTTCATTGATTGATTGACTTTTGGCAATCATTACCTGCTGATGCCCTAATGTTTAGTTTGAGCTCCGTCTGGAAGTCCAGGGCTCGAGGGCTTTGTTCCTTGAACATCAGCATATTGGTCTTGAGGCAAATTAAATGACCGAAACAGACCCTTTTTTTTCAGGGAGGGTTGAGGTTGACAACCAGGTTTGTTTAAGAAATGCAAGAAGACAACGCATAAAAAAGTGAGTAAATGAGGAAGGAGGCATCAAGCTAACGAGAGCAGAAGATAAAGGGGTGAGAGACGGGATAAATGGGAGGATGACTGGGAGATGGAGGAAGAGGAGCAAAGGAGGGTGACGTGATGATTGTGTGCATGATGGTCAGCGGTAATGGAGTCTTCTCTCGATAGAAAGGGGATGTTGCTGTATGATTTAGCTAAAGAACAATACAATCGCACCACTCTGTGTGTGTGTGTGTGTGTGTGTGTGTGTGTGTGTGTGTGTGTGCGTGTGTGTATTTAAATGAGAAGTACTAAAGCTAAGTAGAGGCAATGGCACTTTTTCACTGCTGCCACTCCAAAAGCACTTGTAACACACACTTACACACATACTGAAACACACTCATACCCACTCACTTAAGCGGAGGGTCTGAAATTGAGCTGGGACTTGAAACGAATACTCCAAACAATTATCTCTCACTCCTGCGTCTAGTAATCCATTTCCCCTGAATATATTCACACGCGCCGCTTTATTTTTATTTTCCCGCTCTTCCTCCCTACATCCTCGTCCTCTTCTTTTACACATTATCACCTCCCTCTTTCCTCCTCCCTCAGAGGTGATGGCATCCTTCCCTCGGGCCTTGGAAAGAAATGTGACAATCAGACTTTTTAGTTTATGGCGGCAGATGCCCGTCACATAATCCCCACACTCGCGTTACAGCTGCAAGTTACACACTATTTTAGAGAGATGTGACTTCCTCCTGGAAACAGATACATTTAAATGTATTTAACAATTAATTTGTACTGGAAAAAGAAGGAAAAAAATAAGAAATGTTTTATTTTGTTTTTATTATTTTTAACTATTTGAATAAACATAACAATGTGAACTTTATGAATAACCCAAACGGTTATCTCAATAACTTAAAATCTGAAATGTAATTACTCACTCATTGACGGATACTTAACTAGTTATTGATTTATTTAACGCGTTATTACATGGAGCCAAATCCAGACCTGGGGACCATAAATGTCACAAGCATGATGTGTCAGTTAAACATATTTTACTTGTTGGTTCTCTCACTCTATTGGATCTTTGTTATTATTCAATTAATCTCCAGCATCCTTTTTGGTTTACAGTTGATGATCTGTGAAGGGTAAAATCGTCAGATTGCTCTTTCTTGGTCACTTTCAATCTGTGACATCATCACCTACTGGCCGATGATCTCACCAGCTGCCAGTAAAAGTGAGATTATCAGTGAGCGGATGTGTGGTGACTGGCAGGGGTGATTTCTGATGACCTCATCCTAATGATTATTAAAAAAAAAGAAAGACCTTCCAGCGTGCATGGTGATGATGATGTCAGTGCCGTTGTGTGAAGCCTTTGTGCGTGTGTGTGTGTGTGTGTGTGTGTGTGTGTGTGTGTGTCGGACCACAGAATGTGGCTATAATATCATCACATCTCACCAGACCTCTCAGGGATCTCACACACACAGACCACACACAGGTTTTCCTCTGTGTTTGAAGGCCAGAAATAAAAGTCAAATGTCACGGCCGTGAGTTTCTGCTTCTTCTTGCAGAAACACTGAATCCTTTCCGAGCAGGTCGGAGCTTCAGCGTGAAAAACTTCTGCCAGACCGTTGACAGCCAGAGGCTCTGATCGCACCACACGACAGAGTAACCGTGAGAAAAACACAGGAGGAAGAACATTGTCGTAGAGGGAAGACGGAGTATGTTTGTCGTTAAGTTAGTTAGTGACCTTTGCTTTTGTAACTTGTTGCTACTTCCCCCTTGTTTCAGATGAGATAAATAAACACATCATAGAACCAAGTTTTCTAATATTGAAGTAAGAATACTGTTTTACTTAATTTTGGAAACATTGTTCTAATTGTCATTCAATGGTAACAAAGGAACTGCACATTTGATGTTTAATTCAAAACAAAACACTTTTTCCTCCAGCATGAAAACACAAACATGCATCAGTTACTGTGGGTCCACATGTGGTTTTACTTCACTAACTTCCAGCCCAATGCCAAGTGCAGATGAGTCCACGGCAAATTTGAACCGTGTTGTTTTATTGAACAATAACAAATGGAAAAACAGAAATATATTCATGAAAATATTTATCACTTTAACCTCTCAGGGCAGAGCTCACTCCCCCGTAATCCTCTCTATTTCCCTGAGTGTTGCTATTGAACCTGAGCCAATTGAATAATGCCTCTGCCCAGTCAACCATGTGTGTGTATGCGACCATGTGTGTGTGTATGTAACTGAACCCCGTATTTTAGTTAATTTGTGAATATTTCAGCAGAGGGAGATTTCACAGTTTCTCAACATGCAGCCGTCTGAGGCTCTGTGCTGCCAGCTGAGTGCTCAGGCAGGAGGTCCGCAGCCTGCGCTGACCCCCTCGGCGACCCCTGGGAGTCTTTTTCAAAGAACCTTGGCTTTGAGTGTGTAACATTGAGCACTGTGCAAGGTTTGATCTTCTACTGCAGCAAACATAGAAACACAGCACCAGGGATCGAAGCTTTTCAATAGTTCATCAGCTGCCATGGACTTTAACCCCTCGAGGCAGAGCTGCAATCTGGCCGACCTCGTTCTGATGGAACATCTTGCCTAAAAACCGGCATTTTCATTTTTTTCCAAGCAATGCTTTAGTTCATTTTTTTGAATAAAATTTGGTGAAAGCTAAACAACCTTTATAACATTATTTTTCCACCATAACTGA